GTTTCTCCCCTGATTCAAGACTTTTCTGAGGAGGTGTGGTGGGTTGACGTTGGCTGGCTGCCAGGTACACATCAAGCTGCTCCCTCACTCCCCTTATTCATCAGGATGGGAAGAAAATAAAACGAAAAAGCTCATGAGTTTAAATAAGGATAAAGAGATCACTAACCAGTTACCATCATAGGCAAAACAGATTCCACTTGGGGAAGATAAAGTTAATTTATTACCAATTGATAACAGCAGGAGAGTGAACAGAGACAGAACTAAAACTACCTTCCCCAAAGCCCTGTCTTCTTCCCAGCCTCAACTTTACTGTTCTACCTCCCCTGCCCCTTGCTACACCCCAAGTGGCACAGGGGGATGGGAACAGGGATTGCAGTCACTCCATAGGAGTTTCTCTCTGCCGCTCCTTTCTCATGCTATTCCCCTACTCCTACTGTGGTCTCTCCCACAGGGTTACAGTCCTTCAAAACAGACTGCTCCAGCCTGAATTCCCCACAGGCTGCAGTTCCCACCAGAAAGCCTCTCACTGAGTTGGCTCCCTTCCATGGGCTACAGTGGGACAACCTGCTTCACCATGGTTTTCATCATGGTTTTCACCACAAACTGCAGGAAAATATCTTCTCTGGTGTCTGGAGCACCTCCTTCTTCACTGACTTTGGTGTCTGCAGGGTTGTTTTTCTCATGTTTCTTTTACTCACAGCTTGTCCACAGCATTTTTCGCCTTTCTTAAATGTGTTATCACAGAGGTGCCACCAGCATTGATGCTTCGGCCTATATTGAGTTCCTTGGCTCTCTTTGATGTAGGGGGCAGCTCCTGGTGTTTTCTCACAGAAGCTATTCCTGCAGCTCCCCTTGCTACCAAAACCTTGTCATGTAAACCCAATGCGGGAAGTAACGTTCTAGTCTTTGCCGCTGGGAGAGGTGGGAAGTGATTCAAACCCTAATGAAGCATGAGACAAATAGATGGATAATTCTATAGCAGATGGACTCTGCTATGAAATACAGTACTGCTACCTGTGCTGTTCTGATGGAACTGAAATACACTTGAAGACACTAAGTGAAACTGCTGCTATCTGTAACTCATCCATCCAAATATCTGGCTTGGGTGAGAAGTACATGAATGGGCATCATTGTCATATGACTGATTGTTCTTGACTTGCAGCAAAGCATTTAAAGACTGTGTCAAAGAGTAGACTTAAGTGAAAACCTTTGCATAGGCTTGAAACATGTTGTTCTAAAAATAACTGGGTATAGTGCTATCTTGCACTATATAGCTTAGTCCAGATGCTGTCAGATAGGGGCTTTCTTGCTTTCCACATTCCAAAGACTCTATTTACTACATAAACTTTGGACAAGGTTGGTGAGAGTTCTTTGCTTCATTCTTGTGCTTTTGTTAAAAGTACAAACAGTTGTGTTCTTTAATGAGATCACTTGTAGTCTTGAAACTCTTACAGACTTTGGGGTACAAAATAGCATTGTAAATTTGCCATAGCCTCTGCCAGAAGAGAGGTGTTCACCTTGCATGTTGCTGGTGTAATGTTGCCTTTTCTTCTGCATCCTCCTGGTCAGTTATTCTAAGCAGAAGGAAATGGGAAATGCTGAAAGTAATAGTGGATCATAGTAGACCTTGCTGAGGAATGAAACTTGGAAAGAAAAGAGGTAGAGTGAATAAATGTAGAGTTTGCATTTAAACCCAATCCTGTGATTTCTTAGTCCCATGAATAGATGCTTGTTGACTTGCTCCCAAGACAGACATTTGAGGTTTGAGTCTTTTGTTTTATATCCAAAGGAAAGCTGTTACTAAAGAACGTCCCTGTCTGGTTTTGATGCACTGGCTGGCCATTTTCTCCAAATTCATTTTAAGAGGTGTTTGATAGAAGAGAGCTTCTTGACAGCTCTCTGATCTTAATAGCTTCTGAGAAAACGCATTGACTGGCCCTTTTGTTTTCAAAAGATTGCTGTAATTTTCAGTCATTATCTATAAGGAAATCAGTGTAATTTATTAAACCAGTATCATGGATTAAGAATTAAAAACCTGATTCTTTATCACTTAAGCTGGTGTTACATTGATGTTACCCATGAGGAGCTTTAGTAAGAGAAAGAGCAAGTGGAGTAAGTTCCTATGAAGTATTTAAAAGCAAGCTTCTAGACCGCTTTCATAGCTCAGAATTGATTCTTGAAAATTAATTTATGGTTTTCTATTGCTTATACCAAGAATAAACTGCATTTCTTGGAGTCTGGGTAATGAAAACATTCCAAAAAGTATCATATTAAAAAAATCTTCAAAAATGAGCTTATGCTTGAGAAACAGAACACTTGGTTAGCACTCTGTATGCAACATTTGGGTTCCAGATTTTGTAAGGAAAACACCTGACATTTAATCAGAAGGGAAAATGTATCTCTTTAGTTTCCCTACATTTCAGAAAAGCAAAATTTATGCAGTAGTTCTAATTTCTTGTTCCTTTTACAAGCAAGTTGGGCTAGGGACATTTCAGTGGTACTGCTTAAGTAGATTTAGTTTGCCTTTAAAATATATCTTAGAAGCTTTACAGCACTGAAATTTGATGACTGAGATATGAAAACAAAGAATAAATTGCTTTCAAACATTCCATTGTGGGTTCATAAAATTGTAAAATAGTAATCATGTTTTATCAGGGTCATCTCATCTTTGTTTATTTTAATTCTGCAAACTTTTGTTTTAAAGACCCAGTATGAAGTAAATGATTCACATAATCATAACATTTTAGCACAGTTTGACTACTATGACAATGAAAAAAAGTCAGTTGGTGGTCTAATGCACAGGAATTCTTCCTTGTCAGAAAGTCTGTTGATCAACTGAATAGATTTCTGTTGATTATATTAAATAGTGAATTTTTGGATCTCCACTGTAAGTAGACAGTGCGTTAATCTTATTTTATGTATGGATTTTTTTTTTTAATTTATTTTTTTTCCAGCCCCTTACTGATCTCTGTGAATTACATTAGATTAGAGAGATTCTGTGGGATGGAATTAAACAGTCCAGCTAGCACAAAGAACTGTTGATCAATTTTAGTCAAGGACAGTAGGATAAACCTAGTCATCAGGGTTTTGGGCACTGCACCATTTTTTTAACCCACTGATTTGTAAGTAATGGGTTGCTTCCATTCTGGCTGTTTTAAAGAAGTGATCTAATCCTGCTACTTTGTGAAATACAGTAGTCTTTGTTAGGGAACTGAAATCTTGTGTCTTTCACTGTAAACTTACTCAAAATTTGGGTTTGCCTTTAGAAAGTGTTTGACTCTACCTTCAGAGAATGCAGTGGAGTGGTTGGGGCATGAATCACTGCAATGGTTCCTACTAGGCAGCATTTATCATTCTACTTAGCCTTCAACAAAAACAAAGCCTTTGGTCAAAGCCCATGCTAATAAATTGTCTACTGCCCTCACAAACATATCTCTAGTAGAATGGTTGGTTAAAGCTGGAAAAGTTTTTTTGCAAGTATCATGACAGCAGTTACTACAATGAACAGGGGCTGCTTCTTCCATTCTGGCTACAGGTGGTGACTGCTTTGGTACTGAATACTACAAGTCTGTGATACACAAAAGGCACATTTTTTCTACTAATTATAGGCTTGCGACTGCCATAAATTCTTGATATAAATTATACAACAATACAGATTCTCTTTCTTAAATTTTTCTTCATCTTCCTTGTGGTTGAAAACCTGGCTAAATCACTTCCTATCGCTTTGCAGCAATTTTTGTGTGTGCTCTTTGCTGTGGTAAGCATAGTCAGCAAGGACAGTAAAACATGTTTCAGGACACTGATCTAGACACAGTGCCTCACATAATGGGGTCTCATATAAACTAAAAGGAGAGACATAAAGGTTTTTTTCATCAGTTAATTCCCTGGGGTGCTGACAGCCGCTGTTTTGTTACTGCCTATGACTGACACATGCAGAAATACTGTCTCAGGTCTTCCTCCCTGGGCAAACTCTCCTATGCCTTGGAGGGAGAAACAGTGTAGGAATGGAACATGATGGCAGCACCTCCTGCTTAAGTGTATTCAAAATGCAAGCATGTTGTTTACTGAGAATTCATGTTTTTATATATTTTTCTCATAGCAAATGAGACTAGTGTTTGTGGTCATGATGGTGGGGGGAGTTCAATATGGTATTCCATAGGTCAGAACTCTTGGACACTGCCTCTGAATGCTCAGCTGCTGAGGTTGGACTGGTTCTTTCCATAATTATACAAACATAAGTACCAAGGAGTTGGGGTTTTTTTGCTGGGAAAACTGTTGGGTTATGGGTTAGTATTGCTATTGATGTTTCCTTTCTGGGTTTATGGAGTATGACTGGAAGAATTACAGTGTCAAGGAATAATTGAACAAATTCTATGTTTTGTGTAGAGCCAAACTTTTATTCTCATGCCAAAATAAACTGATACTTGAATGTGACAAGGGAACAAGCCAATAAAGCCAGAATTAAGGAGCTGCCACTGCCTCTTGGTTAGGGAACATGGCATGTAGAGGAATGCACAACTTCTAACATAAAGCTCTGAAGCTTGCTTTTACTTTGGGGCTGCTCTGGAAGATAGTGGATGCCATGGTATATGTCTTATGAAGTACAGACAACTCAATTCTAAATGTAAGTGGATTATTTTGCTTATAAATTATCAAAAAGGGCCCAATAGAGGAGTATTGCAGTCCATGGAATGGAGTCATATGCTTATGGGTTTTGCAGAATTAGGACTGAAATGTGAAAATTTGTTTCCAAAGCCAAATGTAAATTGATTCAGAAATATGGTGTTCTCTTTTTGTGTTTAGTTTTGCAAGTATTGTCATGAGGTCTTTTTCTACAATAGAATCAACTTTATTTGGTGTATTTAAGTGTAAAATGGAAAGTCTGTATTAATAGTCTGTTTGTAAAAGTAAATACACTCTAACCACTGATCTTATTTGGTTTTGCAGGTGGTCTTCTGAATTTCGGGTCTGAAGGTAACCTCTTGATTTGTCAGCAAATCATGGACATCGTTGGCTTTCTGAAGTCTCAATTCATTTTCCACCTTCTGATTTGCTACATATTTATAGTGTCAGGACTGATCATTAACTTCATTCAACTTTTTACACTTTTACTGTGGCCAATCAACAAGCAACTGTTCAGGAGGATCAACTGCAGGCTGGCTTACTGCATATCAAGCCGTAAGATTTATTTTTATTTTTTTAAAAATATTTTCATATTTTATCTTAAGGAGTTGGTAAAAAAGTTCTGAAACAGTTTTCAAGGTAACCTACATAAAGCTCGTTACTGCTTCCCACAGCACTTGCATTTGTGTGAGGAGATGTTTGCTTTGTTGAAGTGCCTTGTCCTGTTGAATTGGTTTGGTGTTTTATAGTGGGATACTGGCTTGACTCAGGATGTTGAAGAAAGACTGCCTCTCATTTGGCTATCCATCATGTTCCATTAAGCCATGAGAAATATTGACCAAATAATAGCTGAACTGGCTGAGATGCATTATCTGTAAGATTACAGTGTTAACAAGTCACTTCCAATAGTGCTTTCAATCTTTTTATCATGCATACTGTATGTTTGAAGTAATGGAATGTAGAAAATACTGTACAGCTGTATACCAGTGTATAGGTAGGTTTATTATTATTATTTTTCATGTAATGTCTTCTGCCCCATTCTTCCTTCTACTTAATACAGAGACATTAGCTACTCTATATTCTCAAGACTAAATCCTTTAGCTGCCCTCAACCTAGTCTCATCTATACTGGGGCCTGGTCTCTGTGTAATAGCAAGTAAAACTGCATGCTTGTTCTTGGT